TAATTAATAATGGAAGGGCTGTGAGCAGATGCCAAGCCAGGAGAGGGAAGGGATTTGTTTGTTTATTTCCTTTTTTTTTTTTTTTTTTTTTTTCCTTCTTCCACAGTGTGCAGGGAGGGCTGGGGCATGTTTCCCAAAGTGAACGGCAGCACCGGGGACCCTGACATGCAGGAGGATGCAGAATAGGGAATGGGGTCCCCATGGCAAGGGGCTCGTGGCCACAGTGCTGCTCCTTGCGCACCGATTCCCCTCCAGTGCTGATGTCACCACGGGGAAAATGAAAAAGAGGGGTTCAGGCTCAGGAATTGTGATGGGGCTGCCTGCAGGCTGCAGCCCGACAGCATTGCGAGGTGGTGGGAATCCCAGTCATTGCCTTAAAAGGAGATTTCGGAGACTTATTTGAAATTGTTTCCTTGTTATTCAGCTTATTGAGAGTTTAATTTCATTATTTGCAATATGACGTGAGGGGCTGTAGATGTGCTACCCGCACAACTAACAGCTATGGCCAAGGATGTTTCTGTGGATTTGGGGCCAGAGGGACCACTAAATCATCCCATCTGACCTCCTGTATTCGGAATTTCACCCAATTACTTGCGTTGGGCCCAACAACTTGTGTTTTTGATTCAGGCATGCGTTCCAGCAAGACATCCTGTCTTCATTTGGTGACTTCAAGCGATGAAGAATCCACCACTCACTTCCCCTCATTGTTTGTCCCAGTGGTAAAAACACACAAGGAAAAAACCCCACTGCCGACTTATTCTGGATTTGGATGTGTCTGGCTCACACCAAACCAGGGTCATTCCATTCCCTTTCATCATCACAAAGTGACAAGGACAAGGGGACACCACGGCACCCGCATTGCCCTCAGCTGCCCACACGTAGGTGTGCAGCTGAGCAGCAATGAACCCTGGCAGCCCTATTGGTCTGCTGTTGGCGAGCAGCTCAAGAGTTAACCATCTTCCACCAGATGTGACCAACATGTCAAGACACGAGAAGTACGTGGTATGGATGTTTATAAGTACATCGACAGAAGGCATTCATAAAAGGTTATAAACCGTGGTAATAAGCAACCCATCAACTTGTTTGGACTCTAACACTTGATTAACCATTTATTAAAACACGCAGTAATCATTTATAAGCCGTAAGTGGGACCAAATGCAATGCACGACTCTCTCTGTGTTCATGGATGCCTCCACAATTCCCTTTACCCTGTGCTGTGTGTCCATGGCTAAAGGCTCACCGCCGCCACCAGGCACTCCGTCCCCACTGCCCCCTCTGTGCAAGAGCCTCCAGGCATCCCTGTCCCCATCAGGCACAGGATGGGACCCCAGGAATGGTGGCAGTAGGGGACCCAGTTTGGGGACCTGAGCCCTAGGTGAGGGGCAGAGCCCCACTCCCTGCAGTCCTGACCCAGTGGTATGGTGAGGGAACTCAGACACCGCAATGGCTTCATCCTTCTCTCAACAGGACCCTCCTCGTTGTTTGCCATCGCACTCCTGCTGCCCTCAGAGCAGCCATGTTTTCCTTCTCGGTGTCCTAACGAGACCTAAACCCATAATTGCTCCCATTACACAACCAGGATTGACATTTTATTAGCAATGCTTCCTGACCTAATTTACGCTGATACCGTCGTGCTCTTCCCATGGCTGTGGGCAAACAAAAGCAGTGCTTTTGAGCACTGCAGATGCATGGGCTGTAGGCGAGCACCTGCCTCAGTTTCCCCGCACCAAGCAGGGACATGGGTTTGCACGACAGCAGATGCTGCCTGCAGCCCTAGGAACAACACATGGCTGTTCAAAGGAAGCTCAGTAGCGGCCCAGCGGGGGGCTTTTTAGCATGCGTGTGGTGCCGGGTCATTTGGCTGTAGCCTGCTTTAATTGCATGGAGCATGCAGAAAAGGAAGAGGGAGGATGAGAACTGCTCAGGAGCAAAGGTTTGCCTTGGCTTGGATGGGATCCTGCCCTGCTCCTGCTCTTACCATCCCACAGGGGCAAGGCAGCCTTGTGTCGCAGAGATCGAGGTGTGCAGAAAAGGCTGCAGGGAGGGATGCTGGGGCCACAGTCCTGACCAATCTATGTCAGTCCCATGGCTTCTGGGGACGTGGCACAGCTCAGCCCTGGGCAGCCACCAAGGATCACAGAACTCCATGTGAGCAGAGCTGCTGTCCAGAGAGCTTCATTTTGGGGGAAGCAAGGAGGAGCCTGCCTGGCCACCCGCCTCACTCGCTCTCGGAAAAGAGGGAAAGAAAATCGTTCTGTCTTTTTTTATTGTTGTTTGTTTGGATTTTTTTTGGGGGGGGGGGGGCGGGGAGAGGGGGGAGGTTTGTGGTTTTGACGCAGTTTCCTGAAAATCCTGCCTCATCCTGCCAGGGGCTGAGCAAATGCACATCCCAGGCCTCTGCGGTGGGGGAGAGAAGGAGAGAAAAGCAGCGAGGGAGAGAAAAAAGCCTTTGCCAAACTGGCCTGACCAGAATGTGACACAAGAGCAGGAAATGAGTCACTCGGCAGGGCAGCTGCTCGCAGGCATTTCCATAGAAAGAAACCCCACCAGGCAGGGGAGCCGTGCTGCCCTGTTCCTAGCAACCCCAAGCTTGGATAGAGCACTGAGCATCAGTGGCATCCCCATGTGGATGGGCTGCCCCACATCTAGTTGGGCAACCTGAGCTCCAACTCCAGGCTTGGTTTTTCCACTTGGAGTTGGACATTCCACCCTGGATCTACCTCAGCATGAATGAGATCTCCAGTGTTTTCTTTCCACCATTCTTCAGCAGAGCAGAGGGGTCCACAGCCCAACATAATTTCTGTACATCCCATGCCTCTGACTCTCTGTGGGGTGACCTCAGCCACCTCCTGCGGGCTTCAGGTGTTGGGTTCCCCTCCCAGAACATTTTTGTTCCTCCCACCTTCCCCTCACCTTGCTGTCTGCTGCCTCGGGAAGGGGCAGTCCACAAGATGTGCAGCACACCAATCAGGTCCAGCTCAGCCCCAGGAGCAGGGCTAGGTTTTGTCATTCACAATGTTGGTTTTTATCGTGGCTCAGAGGAAATCTCAGGAGTGCGGTGTGTAGGCATATTGTAAACCTAGGTAGGGATGTTCCCCATCCCAAAATGTTTCCCATCAGCATGAGAGGAGAAAGAGATAGGCAGAGAAATAGGACAGGAGACCCCAAATCTAAATAAAGCTGAGGGGAGCTGATACCCATCACTCTGCCTCTTGGCAGAGGCATCCTGAAAAGGAAAGCACAGAAAAACTCCGACCATCTGAGCCGGGGTGTACTGCAGGATGCTCACTATGCAGCAGGGAGAGGGTTGATTCATCACTGGGGCCATTGAGATCTGAGAGCTCTAGACAGGTCCATGGGTCCATGGCTGCAGTTAGGAAGTCCTGCTCTATCCCTGCCAACCAGTTTGAAGTCTTTTGTGACCTCCTCACCGGTGGGAAATGGGTTAACACCAGCCACATGCTTTATTCCCTGCGCGTTTGGGGCCGGATACACCACATCCCGCACAACAGCTGCAGAGCCATTTGGTGAGAGAGCTGTCAGGGGGACAGCCGGCTGCAGAGGGACCCCATGGGACAAATGGCTGCTGCTGGCATCGGGAGCACCCGGCCCCAACCTGACAAGCGGTGGGACCCCTCCCTGGAGCCCAACTACCCATGCACTAAGCAGTAGGGCCAGGGTATGTGCCAGCTGGGCCCTGGTCTGCATTGCTGATTGCTGCTTGGGATGTCCTGCATGTCACCAGGGGTGGGACTGGGAGTCTCTGGGATGAGGGTGGTGTTGAGGGTGTGCAGCTCGGTGCAACAGCGGCAGGGACAGCCTTCACTTTGGAAGAGCAAAAGGACAGGCCCCAGTGAGCTGTCCTCCCTTGAGGCAGCTGTTACCCACATCTGCATCTCTGAGTGTATCTCTGTACACTGTGTGCGTCTGTATCCCCATCTCCATTCGCATTTCCATCTCCGTATTATCCCCAACCCTATGTCATTCCCACTCTATTTCCATCTCATCACCATCCCCACCCAAATCCCATTCTCATCTCCATCCCGTTGCATCTGCATCTCAATCCAAACACCATTCCTCTCTCCACCTCCATTCCCTCCCATCCCATCTGTATCCCCATTCCAACACCATCTCCCCTTGTCTCCCGTTTTCTCATCCTCATCCCCATTCCCTTCTCCCCTCACCCTTCCCACTCTTATTTCCATTCCTGTCTGAACCCCATTCCTATCTCCGTCCGATTCCCATCTCAATCCTAACCGAATACCCATTCCCGTGCCCACCTCCATCCCGACCCACCTGTACTTCCACGCCGACCCAATTATCACCTCTATTCCCACCCCCACCACGGCCTCCGTCCCCGCACACCGCGGTGGGCCCCGCACGGCCACGGCCGCTTTAAGGCAGCGCCGCCCAGCGTCGGGGCGGAGCGCGGTGACGCGTGGCTGGGCGGGCCGGGCCGGGCCGGCTCCCACCGCAGCGCAGCGCGGGGCGGCTCCGAGGCGGTGGCGGCGGCGCCCGGCGGCTCCACCGGCACTCAGCGGCTGCGGCTCCGGGGCGGGACGCGCCCGCCTCCCCCCGCCCCCGGTCGCTCTCTCCCCGCGGCCGCCGCCCCCATGGCCGCCCCTCCGGGCCCCCAGCGCCGGGGCTGAGCCGCGCAGCTCCGAGGCGCCGCCCCGCTCTCCCCCCCCCCCCCCACCCCCCCCCCCCACCCCCCCCAACCCCGCAGCTCCCGGGGATCCGGGCCCCCCCCGGCCGCGGCCGCCTCCCGGGGGCGGCGGGAGGAAGGCCGGGCGTGGGGCCGCCGGGCAGCGCAAGATGGCAGGAGGCGGCGGGGGCGGCCGCGGGGGGCTCTGCTGAGCGGCCCCGACGGGACGCGGGGACACGGGGACGGAGCCCGCAGCCCCCGGCGGGGCGGGGGCAGAGCGCGGCGGAGAGGCGACATTCTTCCGACAGGAGGGGGGGCCGGGTGGGGGGGGGCGGGCCCTGGCTTTTTTTTTTGTTTTGTTTTTCTTCGTGTTTTTTTTTTTTGCGTTTCCCTGCGCCTCCGCTCCGCTCTCCAATAGGGCAGCGCAAAATGGCTGAGGGCTGACTCGCCCGGAACCGCACGCTCCGGCCCCGCTCCGCTCCGCTCAGCCCCCGGCCCCGCCGCGACCCCCGCCCGCTCGGCGCATTGTTCCGGGGCGGGGGAGCAGGGCAGCCCCGCTCGGAGCCCCTCCGGTCTTTTTTTGCCTCTCTCCGAAGAGGACGCGGCCCCCCGTGAGAACCCCGGCAGGTTGATTTGGGGCTCTCCCCTCCCTCCCTTTGCGAAACCCATTTTCTTTTTCATTCCTATTTATGAACGGAGGCAGCGCCTGAATGGTTGGCCTGTCCTCCGCTCAGCTCTCCCATTCACCACCTCACAATTCCGAAGCAGCCGAGAGGGTTTTTTCCCCTCGTTTTTTATCCTCTCTTGTCTTTTTGCCCCCTCTTCTTATTATTTTTCCTTATTTTTGCTGCAAACCTTTGGGGCTGCGGAGAGAATTCGTGGGTTTTTGTTGGCTTTTTTTTTAATTATTGTTATTTCACCGTCGTCATCGTCGCTGTTATTTTTTTTTTCTCAATTTGCTCAGTCTTCCTCCTTTTCCCGTTTTGGATCTTAACCCTTTGATCTGTCTCCTTTAAAAGACTCCGATTCTGAGCTCGCATCGCGGAGAAAGCCGGGATAAAGCCCGGAGGCAGCCCAGCCGCTCTGCTGTAGTCAGCTGGGGGGGGGTGGGGGCGACAGAAGTCCCTTTAAAATATTGAATGTCGGCGGCGAACCCAAGGAACGAAAAATCAAACCCGGAGCGCTGAATTTCGGAGCTTTATATGGAACGCGGAGCCCGGCGCTGGATTTTGTATGGATTTCTTTCAACCTTCGGTAAGTTTTGATTCACCCTGCATACAGCTGAGAGGAGACCCATTGCTGCTGGGGGCTCTTAAGACTTTGGGCTGTAAATCCTCCAATATTGCATTGCTGGCTTGTTGGCTTTTTTTTTTTCTTTTTTTTTTTTTTTTTTTTAAACTGTTTGCGTTTTTAACCGAACGCCACAGATATGGCCCCGTCCCCGGAGGCGTTCAAGGCCGGCTTGGATCGGGTCCTGGTCCCTGATCTGCTGGTCGGCACCCAGCCCGCAGCAGGGGCTTGGAGCTGGATGAGCTCTGGGGTCCCCCCCGACTGAAGCCATTCCGTGGTGTTTTCTCGCTCGAGATTCCTCGAGTGCTGCCCCGTGGCTCCTCGTGCCCTCGGTTTTGAGCTCCGTGGGGCGGAGGGGCAGCCTGGCCGTTCACCCCAACGCTTCCCATTGCAGGGCGACGCGACCCCGGTGCCCGTCTGTAGACCCAACTGAGACATTTGGTGGGGAGAGCCGCCAGCGAGCGCCGGCAGCGATGGCCGAGAACTGGAAGAACTGTTTTGAGGAGGAGCTCATCTGCCCCATCTGCCTGCACGTCTTCGTGGAGCCCGTCCAGCTCCCCTGCAAGCACAACTTCTGCCGGGGCTGCATCGGTGAGGCGTGGGCCAAGGAGACGGGCTTGGTGCGCTGTCCGGAGTGCAACCAGGCGTACAACCAGAAGCCCAACCTGGAGAAGAACCTGAAGCTCACCAACATCGTGGAGAAGTTCAACTCTCTCAACCTGGAGAAGCCTCCCTCTGTCTTGCACTGCGTCTTCTGCCGCCGGGGCCCGCCGCTGCCTGCACAGAAGATCTGCTTGAGGTGCGAGGCCCCGTGCTGCCAGTCCCACGTCCAGACCCACCTGCAGCAGCCCTCCACGGCCCGTGGGCACCTCCTGGTGGAGGCGGACGACGTGCGGGCCTGGAGCTGCCCCCAGCACAATGCCTACCGCCTGTACCACTGCGAGGCCGAGCAGGTGGCCGTCTGCCAGTTCTGCTGCTACTACAGCGGGGCCCACCAGGGACACTCGGTCTGCGATGTGGAGATCCGGCGCAATGAGATCAGGGTGAGTCCCATGTCCGCTGAGGCCCATGAGATGTCGCCATGATCTCCGCCCAGTGGAGCGTCCGTGGGTGGGATGCACGTCTCGGAGGTTGGTTGGCCACCACGCTTGAGATCGTGGTCCTCGTGCGAGACGTGGTGGCGGTCTCCACCCTGTGGAGCAGCCACGGTGGGTGCACTGGATGGTCATTTGACCGCCGTGCTCGAGGTCTGGCCACTGCGCTCCATAGGAGGTGCTGGGGTAGTGGTCCGGAGCCCACTGTGCTATGCGGCCACCTTGGGAGGGTTGAGGAGGTGCTGGGTGTTCTGAGCCCACCGTGCTGCGAGACCGCTGGGGAGAGCTTGAGGAGGTTCCCCACCATTGTAGAGGCTGTGTTGGGCAGGAGCCTCTTCATGGTGGTTCTCAGCTGGGGATTCTTCCTCTGCCTCCTGGATCTGTGGTGTGCCATGTTTGTTTCCCAACAGGCTCATGTGTGCATAGCATCTACCCAAAAGCCATCCTCCTGGCCAACGCCGCGGCCTGTTGTTGTAGAGCTTTGCCAGTGCCCTCTGCAGCACTGGGGCAGCCAGGAGGAAGTCGGCAGGAGCAGACATGTTAGATCGTGGCTTGGCTGGGCACGGCGGGGAAGGCCAAATTGCAAGGATGGGGCCTCCCGTGGGGGTCTGCTGGGCCCTTGGTGTCCCCTTGGTACTGGGTGGGGGTCCCGGTACTGAGGAGGAGGCGACTGGAGATTTCAGCCCTGCTGTGGTTCAGTGTCAGCTGGCGGCTGTTTGGTGACATGCATTAAAATTTGACAGTGGGTGGTGGTGTGTGTAGGGGGGGCAGGGGGTGAGGAGCCCCGAAATGCGGATCCAGGCACCCGACTCCGGGATGACAAAGCCGCTGTGCGACAGGGACGTGGTCCTGGCCATTGTAAGGCTGGTGAATGTCAGAGCCCGGCTCTTCCCACCGTCCTCCCCTTCCTCCTGTATGGCCGGCACCGGATGAGCTCCGTGTTAGGCATTCAGCAGAGATGTGGCTTCTTGCTCCGGGGGGCCCAGGGTTGGGTTTTGGCCAAATAGTGCTTTTTCTAATCGGGATAAAGAGGCGGCGGGGGCCTGCCCCCAGTCCCTGCGGCAGCGGGAGGCGTTGGGTTTGGGGAAAGTGAGTCGGCCGTGCCTGTGGCTGGGCCATCTGGCAGAGGCTTTCACCACGGCTCCACACCCTGAGGGGTATCACACAGCCTCGCTGTCACCCTGGTGCCCCCCGCCCACCTCGACCCTTCTGGAGGGCCCCGGCACTCGTCCGACAAATAAATATTTAACAATGAATTGAATGGTGATTACTGTAAAATGGGGATGATTTCCTGTGTATTTTAATGTTGCCAAAATGAGTCACCATTTAGCAATAAAAAAAAAAAAAAAAGGAGTCATAAATAAAAATTGCAGTATAATTACTTTCCAATTGGATGGCCAGGCCTGCGGGGGGGTGGGGGAGCGGCTCCCAGCCTGAGCTCACAGGAAGGTTATTTTCCTCTCAAGGTTTTTTGGGGGAAAACCAGAGACCTCCGTGGAGGTGCCACACGCGCTGGGAGGGGAAGGACCCAGGCAGGCTGACGGAGAAGGGCTGTTCTGCTTCTATTTATAGGGAATGGTTTTGGTCTCCCTGGCAGGGTGGGGGATCCACCCCGGCGGGCAGGGATGGGGACCTGGAGTGTTTTTCCAGGTCCTTTTCCAGGACGCTTTGATCTCATCGATCCTTGCTTTCTGCATTTTCCTGTTGCTGTGCCGTCGTTAGGGCTGGATGTTGGTGTTCCAAACGACCTGGCAGAAAGCAAGGCCAGATTTTGGCCCTGCTGTAAAATCTGAGGATGTGCGGCTGGGTGGTGAAGGGTCTGTGTAGTAAAGCCACAGACTTACGGTGTGACCTTGGCCAAATCCCTTAGAACCTCCATTACTGCCTTATCTTTATTTCCCATCCCCGCAGTGATCAGCTTGTCTCTTCTCACCGTTGGGTGTTCAGCCCCGAGCTGGGGAATAGGGTAGCAGTAGTGTCCCTGCTATGGCTCCCTATTCTCATGGACCAAGAGTGTAGCTACATCAGCCCCAAACTGGGCCACGTGCGTGTCCCCATCCCTTGTGCGCTCAGCGGCGATGGCTGCCTGTGCGCCGATGTCGGCATGAGATTCCGGGCTGCTGGCTGGCTCCACACTGGGGGATGCACTCCTGGAGCATCGCGCGTCCCTGCCAGCAAGTGGCCCTGAGAGATTTGTTCCGTGTGCGCCTCTGGGAAGCTCGTAACTGAGAAGTGAGTCAAAGTTTGGAGGCTCAGAGCCTCATCCTCCGCCCGGTGTCTGGCACGCGGGTTACGGGCGTGGGATTGACCCAGTGGCAGAGGCGGCCCCGGGGGCCAGGAGGCTGCAGTGCCCTCTGCCGTCATTGTTTCCTGCAGCCCACCTCAGGGGGCTTTGTGCCGGGCAGGCGGGGGCTTGGAGCCCTTTGGGGAGCAGACCCAGTGCTTCCTGAGCTCGCGTGGCGCCCAGCATCGTGGATCCGCCGAGCCCTGGCTCACAGCTGGGTGAACCCAAAGGTGCAAGCGTAACGCAAGCAGTAAATAAAATATGTGGTTAATCTTGCTTTTGTGGGCGTATCAGCGCCTACCTCCCCTCCCCCCCCCCCCGTGAGATGTTTTCTCCTTTGTTTCCTGTTTTTGTAGTGCTTAAAGAGGAAAAAAAAAAACCCATGCTGACAACCCACCCTCTTTTTGTGCTTCTTGACGTGGTGTTTGTGTCGAGGTCTTGAAACGAAACATTTTTTCCTTCCATCTTTGCTGCAGAAGCCATTTACCTCCCAAACCAGGGCATGGGGGACCTTCTCCTGGATTGAAATTGGGAAGTTCCCCCAGTCGGAGGAGGGTGCCCCCTAAGTATTTTTGTTTGCCCAGCACCAAGACAGGAGCACAAGTGGGAAGGCAGCAGCCAAAGAAGGACGTGTGAAAGGGGCTTACCTGAATGTTTGCTGGGTACCACTGCGATTGTCCCACCGTTGTGTGGGATGTGGTTGGTTATACTGCTGCTGGAGGTGCTGGAGGTGGAAGGGATTGGCTGGGGGCTCTGCTCCTGCTTTGGTAACATTTCAAGGCTCAGAGGCAGCTTCCCCCTGACCTTGCTTCTTGCACCGTGTGGGAAGTCGGGAGAAAATCCCGCTGCCTTCTGAAAACTCCAGCACGTCAGAACGAAGAGGAGGCGGACGCGCCATGACCTGCGGGAGGTTTGGGAGCCAGCTCTGCAGGGTGTCTGGCTCTGACACCAGAGGCACCTGGCAGTGTGCGTGTCCCTTGTCCCATCCCCATGCTCCCCTCTGTGCCATGGGTGCGGAGATGGCACCCAGCAAGCCCTAGTGCTGGGGCCGTGTGGTTGGCTCCGCCGCAGGCTTGAGCTGCTGTAGGTCGATTTACTCCGGAACAGGTTTGGTGACTTGCTATGGGGTGGATTTTTATGGGCTCACTTATTTTCCAGATGAGTTGTTTATGAGGAGCGTGGCATGCAGCCCACGGAGGCACTGTGAGTGCAAGGACCCGAGTTCTCTGGTGTGAATTGAGTGTTGTGGTGCCTGGCAGGCACTCCTCAGAGCTCTCTGAACATACCCGGTCCCCATGGTAGGCCCTGCTGAATAGGGGCTGTGCAGGTCTTTGAGGTGAAACCAGCATTTGCCTCTCCTGGGGTCTGGATGCAGGGCTTTTTCTTGCTGAGCTCGAGCACTTCCCTTGCCTGTAGCCTGTCAAGTCCCCAGCAGTTGCTTGCTTTAGACCCGCAGCCACAAGTTGTCTGCACAGTCACCCAAGAACTGGCAGAGGAGGTGGGGGACACAGGCATCCACTGCCTGCAGTGGGAGGAAGGAGGTGAAGAGGAGGAGGGGCCGTGCCAAAGGATGCTGTCTTCCCACAGTGGAAAGTGCTGTGTGGATGGGTGCTGATGAGGAGCGGGGTAGGAGGGGGAAGGAGGCAGTCATCTGAAGGGCTCGAGCCAAGGGTGCAGGGGTAGAGATGTAGCACTGGGGGACATGGCTTGGTGGCCATGGGGTGGGTTGATGGTTGATCTTAGAGGTCTTTTCCGATGAATGATTCTATGGTTCTTCCCATTCCTCAGCCTCTTGGGAGCCAGGGAACACGGGGAACCTCCTCTTCCCCTCCCGTGGCTCTGCTAAAGCACTGACCGCAAGCCGTCCCAGAGGCGCGGTGGTGCCCAGGAGCCCGTGCTGACAGGCCCCTGCCCCTTCCCGAGGGGAGCAGAGCTCCGGGGGGCCGGAGGAGGAGGAGGCAGATTTCCATGGCTCACAAAGGGCACAAGCGATCTGATCCATGCAACTGCCCAAGAATAAAGAAGCTCTTACATTGCTGGCTGCCCTGACCTCTCTGCGCTCTGTTTGAGGGGACAGCGTGTGACCACACAGGGATTTCTCCGCTACGCTTTGCAGGAAGGCGACGGGCTTCAGTCCCCAGCTCTGCCTGCACGCTGCTGTATTTTTGCTATTTTTGCTGGTTACCTATCTGTTTGCTGGAAATCTTGGTCTGCTGGAGTAATTTTTCTTTCCTTCTCTTTAATTTCTTGTAGTTTTTTTTTATTTTAAATCTGACCCTGAAATGGGGCTGAGAGCAGCAGTGCTTCCAGAGCAGGGACAAAAGTAACCAGGAAACACAGGGCAAGAGAGGAGGGATCGACACCGAAACAATGAAATAGCCAAGCAAGGGAAGGCTGAATGCTCAATAGCACAGGGCTTTGCAGAAATGCCTGGCTAGTGCAGTATTTTATAATCAGCTTCTGTGCTGGGCTGGCCTGCAACAGTAGTGTGATGGGGGAGGAATGCTTTGAATTAGCTGGATGCCAGAATTAATTCTGTCAGAATTCAAATGTACATGTATGTACAGATTTATAAATAAGCACTTGGAGCTAGATGCTGCTTTGCCACGCAGGCTCTGGGGCAGAATCTGGTCTGGCCTTGCTTTTTTCTTGGGGGGAAAAACTG